CGATCCCAATACGAAGTTCGCGAACATCAGGGATATCCATCGGGCTCAAATCGAAGCGGGTGAAAAGGAGGTTATCACGGCTGAATCCAGCGACTCTGAATGCCCTAGTGAGGCTGGCAGCTGTATTGTAGTGGGTGTGGTTGAGGATCAATAGTTAATAGTAATGAGGAGGTTGGGTTGTGATCCCATCGTTTTTGTGGTGCCAGAAACAGGGGGGTGCCAGGAAGTGGGTATGTTGACTTACCACAAGAATGAACCAAGAACGGGTGGGATTAAAAGATTCAATCACAGCAGCATGTAAAGTTTGCGACACATGAAGTCTGGCAGGCTTTGCGGAACGAAGGAAAGGGGAGTGAGGAAGAAGATCAGCGTCAGGATGAGTGGGAAAGAAGTCGCTTTTGTTAAACGACTAGCAACAACAGGCTTGTCGACTGTTATCGGGCTGAATGGTTGGTATCTCCAGAAACCGCGTCCAGACTCCAGACACAGACTAGCTCCACACCGGCCAAGGCATACCTGTAAAGCGAAGGGAAGCACGGCAAAGTGGGTTGGCAACGGCACAAACAGTCCAACACCGACGTTGCCTGGAAAATAGCACGGAATCCTCTTCCATGTCGTATCGCGACAGGGCCTACAGTATGTACATAGATGATAAGGGAACAGGGACCAAGATTCTTGGCCCCATACTAGTTAAATTTGAGCTTGTATAATTGGTTGCACCCCGCGTCCGGCGTTCATTTCTTGAATCATCCTAGCACTTGGCACGCTTCCCAGATAGAGTGCTACGTCAGCCCAGCTGTCTAGCCCTGGTCGATACGCATCAGCAATCAGTCGCTGTCTGAGTACCTTGTTATCGAAGAAAATAAATTCTTTGTGAGTCACAAATACGAGGATACAGTTTTGATAAAATAGTGTAGTGCTCATCCAGCACTTGAATTGATATGCTTCTTCAAGCTTGCCATGAGAGAGATGGCTGTACAATCAGTCGCTGTCAGACGACACGGATATATATTCGTACGGAGTACATGCAGGTGAGCATCTGGGGCTGTTTTTGATAAGATGGCTTGCACCCCCCTGCCATAGGAGGACCACTCCCCGAGACCCCACAACTATCAACAGGCGGAGTTACGGACGCCTGGGGTACCCGGGGGAACCATGCAGTCACGATAGGTAACTTTGTCCTTTGTGACGATGGCCGCCATCGTCCGGTCCGAGTGTCTGAGCGCCTAGGGGAAGTATTTTCCGTACGTAGTACGGAGTACAGGCTGGGTTACCCAAGCACGCTAACAAAGGTAGCTTCACTGCCAGGGTCTTGGTTTGATCACCTGATCCGCCAAGCCCCTACTCTTCACAATTGGCCCCGAGAAGCAAAAGTGAAGCGTTGCAATGTTGCCCGCAGGCCTATTCAGCAGGTTTTGAGCTATATGAATACGCCGTCACAAGGCCTACGGGGTCAATCAATACACAAAGACCAATAAGCAGCGGTATCGACTCGCCTTTATTAGGAAAAGAACATGACCTAGTCTCCTCTTACTTATAGTCATCCTCATAGAGTAAGATGTAGCCAACCGACTAGGCACTCGTACTATGGATATTGTCTAGATCCTATCAGTTTTAAAATTTTCCTTGATCCTCGAAGAAAGTATGTGTGCTAGCTGTCACGACTGCCTACTTATGTATGTGTCTCCTTAGCAACAGCGGATATCTTTCATAATTCTCGGTGGCTCCCAATTCACTTCACTGCGCGCGTTATTCAATTAGGATAATGCTGCCCAGGTCCAGATGCTGACGCCTTTGCCGGGCTGGGCATCTATGTATCAATACAATGCTAGACCTTTCAAGCGGCCACAGTCGAAGCCTTCAAGCATTGCTATGTATACGATCGTCAGATGTATATAGGCTTCCGCATACTCATAACTCGATACCTCTTGTTCCCCAGTGGCGACGCTAGCAGTTGTATCGACGTTTTCTTGTCTTGCCGGTCATATCTGTGGCCATGGTGAATCGACACTCTGTGACTTTTTTCGTGTTTTTCTGGGCTAAGACACCTGACACTGAGCTCTTCGTAGTTCTCTATTGGTCACACAGGAAGAACACGAAGTTCGTTTAGACAAACCATGCTTCTTTCCAGTAAAATTCGATGCGCGAAGGGAATCCGGAGAAAAAGGCAGCCCGAACCTAGCGGATTGGGGTGCGCAAGGCTCTGAATACACATTCATGCCCATTGATACAATCTTGCTCGATTTCAGATTTTCAATTATTTTGACTCAATCTGCGGCCCAGAAATTACAGCTACTAGAGAATTTCCCAATACAACGTCAACATACTATTCATTTTACACAGCGAAAAACGATGTAGTCCTTAGACCATCTCTGGGACAGTGTCGTCCCCTTAAATCCCCCACTGCTAAGCCGAAGGAGAGCAGGCACGACAACGGATCGCAATACCCTTTTTCTCTGGTAAGTTAGAAAAACATCAGATCGTGGGTTATTGTCCTACCATATCAGTTCCCGTGGTGTTTGAGCATTCTGCAGAGAGTGGGTAGTACTGTTGAATTGACCAGAGAGACGTGATAGGGGAATAGTTGAATAGAATCCTAGCCCGAGGCACTTCATCGCGATATAGTTGCACAATATCTATAGGTTTAGCAAGTTAGTACACAACACAATGCCTAACCCAGAGGAAAAGCAAACCCATGAGACGGCGCGTGATCACTGGCGTCGGATTCCCCCGAACCCCGAAACCAACACCCGTTCCGATCCAGTCCACACCCTTCAGTTCATCTGAAAGAAAGTCCAAGCCATCTTCAGGACCAAGAAGAACAGCTACGATCGAATTAGTGTATGGAAGCACAGTAATAGGAAAGTAGTAAACCCTTGATGTTATAGCCGGCCTTTATAATTGCTGCCATGTCTGCCCGGATGCCGGCCTCCACCTGCTTGGGAGTATATCCACTTGCTGCGACAGCAGGATGATTCCAAGGCAGACCTCTATAAAGCGATTGTGTCAGTATGTGTAGGGGAGTGACGGGGCTACAGCGTCTCTAGTTTCTGATTCTAGGTGCCTACGTGAAAACAAAATTTCGTTTGCCGCAATCTGATGAGCATCGGCCGGTGTTAGAAGAACCGGATCTTGGGGCAACTGAGGTCGTAGCGTTTGGTTTGATTGGTGAAGCCGCAATCATAGACCAGAGTCCAAATGCGATGATTGCCCAAGAATTGACCATGATGTTGTTCAGTTGAGGGAAGTAGTTGGACGATGAAGTGTCCAAAGGGTGGCTAAGAATGATGAAGATGGTGACTGGTATACCCAGACCGACGCTCCTGGTAGAGCATGATTACCGTAGCTGCAAGGCTTTTGAAACAAATGCCAATTCCTCCTTTGTCTTCACGAGGGGGAATGCTTGTAATGCCCCCCTCTATAGTGACTTTGCACGGACGATTAAGACGAGGCGGTCGACTTTAGTTTATTTCAAAACCCCGCATCTGATAGCACGAGTTAGTTACTTTCCGGTCCTACTATACTTTGATTGGTTACTCCTTTACATAGCGATCTAGCGGAAATAAGAATATCTACTAACCCGGCTGGCTCAGCTATTTACCTCGCTTTTTATATTCTAATTGTTTATTTTAAATATATATTTTTATATTCTATCATAGCAGTAGGTATCAGGGCCTTATAGGCCCTATAGCTTAGCCTTAAGCTACGAGGCTAAGCTCTTAATAATTACGTAACGAGCTAAACTACTAGGCCTAGAAGGCTAGCTAGCTTTTACTTATTATTTTCTTTTTTCTTTTTTTATATTAAGTTTTTAATTAATTAAGTTAATATGATAGTATTTTAATTTATTTCTAGTTTCTTTTTATAATGTTACTTAATATTAAAATAATTATTTATTTTCAAAAATAAAATAATAGTATTTTAATTAATTAATTAATTAGCTACTCTTATTAAAATAAGTATATGAAAAAGCTAAGTAATAGCTAATTAAATTAATTATATATAAGTAATATAGTAGTTTTTTTCCGGTTTTATAAGCATAAAAGATCGACCTTAATAGGATTACGCTTTTAAAAGAAATTATATAATATAATATACTTTTTAATTATATAATATACGTAATATATTTTAAGTACGTACTTAACGTAATATAGTGATTTTAATATAAAAACCGCTATATAATTTAGAATAAATAAGCTACCCTACGGTAGCGCTAGTTAGAAAGGTCAATAGTAAAAATCGGCTATAATAATTAGCTATAATAATTAGTTATAATAGTTAGAGGCGGCCCTTAATTATAGAGGTTTTAAATTTTAATAGTAATATAGAGGTTTTTAAAAAAAGGGCTAAATAGGCTAATATTTACTACTCTTCGTACTAAAGCTTATAAAGATTTTTTTATTTTTATCGCTTTTAATATTACCTAAAGCTTTATTTAAACTAAATAAATCTATTACATAAATTTACTAAATAAATTTATTAATATATAAACTACTACTCTACTCTTAGTATATAGTTAATAATTAGTAAGCTAAAGATACTTATTAATAAGTCTACCCTTTTTAAGCTAAGCGCCCTTAGCTAGCTTAACGTTATAACTATTGTAACTAATATAAATATACTTAAAAATTCGTAAAGTACTTTTTAATAATACGGAATTTAGTTAAGTAATAATATAAATATTATAAATAGCTAAGTTAATACGGATATTAAGATTTAATATATTAACGTTAGTTTAGAAATTATATTTTATAAAACTAAAAATCTTTTTAATATGGGCTATATTATAAATATAAGGGAATATATAAGGGGCTTTTTAATTTTTAATAAGAAGGAGTATATAATATAGGATCTAGTTACTTACGTAAGCTAATATTAAAAGGTTTTATATATATTAAAATTAGTATAGCTCGTCCTTTAGATAGTTAGAATTGCGTAGGGGAAGGTTAGGAATTATTTTAATTAGTAATTAAGTATAGAGCGTAATATACTTAGTTTTCCTTAATACGTAATATATAGTACGGCCCCGGCGGATTACTCCGTTAGGGGGTATATATAAGTAATATAATTAATACTTTATATATATATATATATATCCCCTTTATTAAATATAATAATTAAAATATATAACTAGGGAAATTAAGCCTCTTTTTATATTAACGGTTTTTAATAAAATTACTATTTTTATAAATTATAATAGAGCGTTAGGGGCTTTAATAAAGTCGCTAAGCTTTTAGTTATTAAGTCTAAAATTATATTAACTAATTAACTTATAGAGCGCTTTTTATTTTTTATTACTTAGGCTAATTATTTAATATACTTTAATAACGTAACTAATTAGCTTCTTTTACTTATTTATATTTATAATAATCGCCTAATATTACTATTAATAATCTATAGTTATAAACTTTATAAGAGGGAAAGTTAAGAAAGTAAAGAATCTAAAAAGAATAATCTATTAAAATAGTAAGAGTATAGATTAATACTATATATTAATACTATATAATCTATATTAAGAACTATTTAATAAATTAATAAAAGTAGAAAATATAAATAAATATTTATAATCATATTCTTTTTAAAAAGAATACTAAATAAAATATTAACTTTAACTTTATTTATAAACTATATTATAAAAATAATAAAAAGACTTTATTTTAATAAATTGAATAGTAATTAAAAAAATATATTACTTAGTATTAATTAGAATAGGTTTTAGTTTTTATTATTCATTAGCTAAGTAATAGTACTAAGCGCTTATATAAATAATTTAAGAGAATTTTAATTTTATATATATTACTATTATAGCGCTTTATATTATAAAAGAAGCTTTTACTTAAGCTTATATTAATAATATAATTATAAATAAGATACTTAAGTAATTAACAAACGGCTTATAAGCTATCTTTATTTAAGGTATTAGTACTCTAAATACGTTAAAATAGTACTTAGTATACTTAAATATATCCCCCCAACAGAGTAATTTGCCGGGGCTATATTATATATTACGTATTAGGGAAAACTAAGTATATTATACTCTATACTTATAGTCTATCGAGATAGTAAGAGTATGTACTAATACTATGTATTAATACCGTATAAACGATACTAAAAATCGCCCGAGTAGTTAGCAAAAGTAAAGTAAAAAACAAAATACTCTATACTTAACTACTAACTAAAATAATAATTAACTCACTTTATTATTATCTTTTTTTTATTAATAGTTCTTAACTATTTATTGTTTATTTATAAAGCGAGCTTTGCTTATTTTAATATATATAAAACCTCTTAATATTAGCTTATATAAATAATTAAATTTAATATAATCCGTTCTTTTTTATAAATATTATTATTACTTAGGGGGCTTATAAAAACTATTTAAAATATTAAGTTATTATTTTAATTTTATATACTTCTAGCCTATTTATTATAGTTATTATAACTGAGCTAATATTAATATATTAAATCTTAATATTCGTATTAACTTAGCTATTTATAATAATACTTATAATATTACTTAGTTAAATTTTATATTACTAAAAAGTATTTTATTACTTTTTAAATATATTTATATAGTGGTTTTTTTTTAGCTTTATAAGTATAAAAGATTAACCTTAACGGGATTATACTTTTAAAAAAAGATTATATAGTATAATATACTCCCCCCGATCCTTTTAGGGTCCGGTCCGCCTTATTAGGGGCTAACTTTACCCTCACGAGTAAGCTAGTCTACTAAGGTTAATACCGAGTTTTTATTACGTAATAAACTTTATAACTAACTATAGCCGGCCGTAGTTATTACTAATTATTAATACTAACTAAACTTAAAATACTAATAACCCTACTACCGTAGTATATTAATTACCCTCTAAATAGCTAAAAACTACCCCTTACTTTCTATTTTTTTTAATAACTTTAGATTTTTCTTTTTAATCTCTTTAAATTTTTTATTTTATTATAGTAATATTAAAATATTAATAATATTCCTAAGTTTATTAAATATATTAAGGCTATATTATATAAGTTTAGTATTAATAATAGCGATACTTATAAAAGTAAATATGTTTTTTCGGATTTTTAAATTAATAGTAGCTAGTTTATACTCTTTTAGACGATTTTTTTATAAATTAGGATTATTAAGTATAATACTAGTAGGATCGAACTACTAGCCCCTAAGGTATCTTTATAGGTTAATAAGTTAGCGCTTTAATATTCTAAATATTCTTAAGTAAGTAAACGGTTCGATAATAATAATAATAATATTAATAATAATAATAATAGTAATAGTAATAAATAATAAAATAAGTAGCGTTTTTAACTTTAATAAAGGAAACGAGGTAACGAATATATATATATATATACGAGGTAAAGTTAAAAATATTATTAAAATTAGTATTATTTTTAACGATAGTAACGAGGGTATCTCTAATACTATACTATTATAAGCTATTATTATTTAGAGAGTAGTAAACTTAGCTAAGTAAGCGGCTTATAAAGTAATAGCATCGGGTACTTAATATTATTATTAATAATCCGTAGTTATAAACTTTATAAAAAGGAAAGTTAAAAAGTTAGAAAATCTAAAAAAAAATAGTCTATCGAAATAGTAGGAGTATTTATTAATATTATATATTAATATTATATAATCGATATTAAGAACCGCCCGAGTAATTAGTAAAGGTAGAATAAAAAAAATAAAAATAAAAACTCCCCCCGATAGAGCAATCTACCGGGGCCGTACTATATATTACGTATTAAAGAAAACTAAGTATAATACGCTCTATACCTAATTACTAACTAAAACTCCTAACTTTTTACTACCTACTTATAGGGCGAGCTTTATTTATTTTAATATATATAGGACCTCTTAATACTAGGTTATATAAATAGCTAAGTTTAATATAATTTATTCTTTTATATAAGTATTATTATTACCTAGGGGGTCTTATAAGAGCTATTTAAAGTACTAGCTTATTATTTTAACCCTATATACCTCTAGCTTATTTATTATAGCTATTATAACTAAGCTAATATTAATATATTAAATCTTAGTATTTATACTAGCCCGGCTATTTATAATACTTATAATATTACTTAGCTAAATTTCGTATTATTAAAAAGTACTTTATTACTTTTTAAGCGTATTTACGTTAGTTATAATAACTATAGTGTTAAGCTAGTTAAAGAGGGTAATATTTTAACTAGCTAACCTCTTAACTAGTTATC